TTTACGAGTATATGTCCTTTAAAGAATGTCTCAATACGTTTCTCGAATACTACCGTTTTCTGTGAAAAATTTCTCAAAACTTCGCATTTTCAGAAACGCTCAAACGCCATTTTCTCAAAAACGGCTCCAAATGTTTTCTGCAAACATTTCGAACGGATAGTGGTAATTTCACTCTTTAATATGTTGTAAAATTAGTTTCTGTGTATTTTTTTATTTTTTCAAAAATTACACAAATGTAAATTTTTTGAAGGAGCCGTTGATATGCACATTCCCAGCAATGTGTAAACGCTATTGTATTTGTGAGGTAATGTACTTAAAAGGACTTCAAATGAAGTTTTTCCAAAACTCAAAAAAATTATTTAAAGAACTTCAAATTTCGAATTTACAGTAGCGGTTAAACGCCAGATTTTTAGAAACTGCTCCACATTTTTCAAAGAAAATTGTGAATTAGGACGAAGTTTTACTGTTCTTCTATAATCTTAAACTAATATTTCTACAATTAGGAAACCGAAAAATTAAGAAAATGTCAAAAAATGTACTTTGGGCGGCCATAGATCACAGTAGGCAGGAATATGTGGCATGTTCGAATAGCTAACCGAGACCAGAAGAAATAGAAAACTAATACGGGAAAGGCTGTGCCTTTCTGTAGCAGGCATCTGTCAAAAGGCATCTACTGGCGAAAGGTACATTTTCTACAAAGTTTCCTTCGAATACTACTTCTAAAATAGTTTTCTCTCTCCCTCAAATCCACCATGATTATTATAAGCAACTACAACAATAATTATTATAATAAGAATAACAATAATAATAGTAATGATAGTAATAAAAATAATAATAATAATAATAAAAATAATAATAATAAAAATAATAAAAATAATAATAATAATAATAATAATAATAATAATAATAAAACACACTCTCTAACAAAAACTACTAAATTAATAATTTGTTTACATTAAGGCTTATAATTTGGAATGATATGTACTTCAAATCAGTGAAATCTAACATAAGTTAATATTGTGCATTTTAAGTAAAGATTGCCATATGAGCCCATAATGATCCCAAATGTATACTTACCTGGACAGTTCAATAACATAAGAATTGTTTTAAGTAAGTTTTTTTAAAGCAGTGCATTTTGAAAAAACTCAAAATCGAAATTTTATATTCAAATTCGAAAAAATATTGAAATCTAACCTCTGTTGACTTATATACCATATAAAACGCGATACAGAAAGCTGCAAAATTACTTTTTTCCAGCTATTTCAATTTGGTCATCAATTAAAAATGTTTGGGGGAGCCCCATTTTATAAAATTTTACAAAATGTGTATCACAATTGGGTAGAAATATTTTAATCAAAATTTGCAGTTATTTTATTCTTTATTCGTACTCTCCATGTGTCAAATTCTTGCATCTGAATCTCAGTTGGTGAGGTAAAATTTTAATGAAAACTTGAGTAAATTTAATATGGAATGGCCCAAAGGTGGAAGATCAAAAACACAATGCTGACAGCTAATCTTTCAGAATTTGTATCATAGACAAGGCCTATCCATCGAAAATAGTAGAATTGTAGAACTCCTAATATATTAGACGAATTAAAGATGAAAATCGATTCTATCTACATTTGGAATGGGCAAATGGGTCATCTGAATTTCAAGGATCTCATTCAAGCTTTTAAGAATGGAACAGTCCGATGTATGAAGATTAATGACGCTGTAAAAGAAAAATGTGAAATATGCATTCAAGGTAAGACGACGCTACCATCATTTCCTAAGATATCGAACGCCATAAAATAATGTTTAGAGATTGCTCATACTGATGTATGTGGACCCATGCGCCCATGTTCAAACGGTGGAGCTAAATACGCTACTTCATTCATCGACAATAAATCAAGATGGACTGAAATGGATTTTATAACATGTAAAAATAATGCTCTTACAGAGCTTAAGTCAATTAAAAACATTGGTGGAGGGACAAAACGGAAGAAAAATCGAATACTTATATCGGACAACGGTGGATAATTCATCAACCAAGATATCGACAAACCCATAGAAAGTGCAGATATTCAACGTAGTAGGTTAATTGCTGCATATTCTCCAGAACAAAAAGGCATAGCAGATATAAAGATGAAAAACAGAACCCTAGTCCAAGTCGCCAGGTTACTACAATCTGGTCTGTATTCATCTTTATGGACTGAGGTGATTTCTACAGCAAATTATATAACGAATCGTTTTCCCACAGTTAAACGTGAAGGAAACTTTCAAGGTCTGGCACGATCGCATTCCATATGTTGGTTACTTGAAAGAAGTTTGATGCGCGGTATTTTGCTTAAACTGTAGTCCAAATAAAGAAAAATTTGAAGCTCGATGGTAGGATCAAGGCAGGAGCAGAAAAGGTATTTTAGTCGAATATTCTGAACAATCTAAGGCTTACCGCATTCCGATACCTAACTTTTCAAAAGTTGAAATAACTAGGGATGTGAGATTTTCGAAGAAGAATTATAGCACAAGAACCTCACCTCAATTGGAAGATATCTGTTACGAAAAACATACATCTGACATCAAGACTAATGCTGAAGTCGAATTGAATTTGAAATTTCTAGTTGCCGCACAACAAGACATCATGGGACAGATTGTAAAAAATATTGATGTCATACTGCAAAACGATTATAAAGAATGCAAAAAATAAGAAAATTCACGTAACTCCAAATCAGGGGAAGATACAAATCGAGAAGAACATTCAAATGTATCAGAAACCAAAAGCGTCCTCATGCATTAAGAACCGGTCTTGCAGGAAGACCTAGGCAGTTATATAATGAAGTTGAGAAAATTAAACTATCTACCGATTTTACATTTATTGCGGGAGCTATTCCTTTAACTGGAGATAATAAATGAGAAAATTATATGAAATGGAAAGAAGCAATGGCTTCGGAGGTTAAATCTTTAATTAAAAATAGTGTAGGAAATCACACCACGTCCTGATCCCACAGTGATAGGAAGTAGATTCGCTTTACGCAATAAATATAATTACAGTGAAACAAGTGAGAAACGAGATGCTCAATCAGTACTCAGGGATTTTATCAAAAGCTTAGAATCAATTTTGATCAAACCCTTTCTCCTCTAGCAAAGTTGTGTTCGATCTGTACAACAGTTGCGTTGTCTTATCATCTTATATATAAAAGACAATGTTTGCTTCTTTGTTGGTTGGTGCACTGCCGTACCGTTCATCCGATTGCAATAGAACTTTGTCAACTAATTGCTTGCACTTGTGGGAAGAAGATAGACATAATACAATGGGAATGTGTGTATGCTTACGCACGAAGACGCGCGTTGATTAAGATTGTAAGCTGACCCAAGCGTTCCTATTCAGGCTCTCTACGCAACGTCGTTCTAACGGAACCCGCAGCATCCTGAAGGATGAAGAGTCTGCAATTGTAAAATAACGCCCGGGAGAGACAGGGACAGATGGAGACATAGAAGCAGAAAGAAAAGCAAACGGAAAGACAGAGAAAGAGAGAGAGAAACGGAGAGGCAGACAAAGAGAGACGGCGTGGGAGACGGAAAGTCGGAGGCAGAGAGGGACAGGAACAGTGAGAGACACGAGAGAGAAAGGGAGAGGGAAGGAGAAAGAGAGATGGAGGGCAGGACAACGTCTGCCAGGTTCCGCTAGTAAAATATATAATTAAGATAATTGGATGTCGTTACAACATATTTAAAAGGCGATTTAAAAGAGCAAATTTTAGAATACATCGTTTGGAAGGCAATATGTTTATTGCCATGACGCTACTAAAATGTTAACGGATTTCAAAAATAGAAAAAGCATATTCTTTACTGATAAAAGCCCTTTATGGTTTGCGTCACACTGGACGGGCCTGGTGTTTTCGATTAGACAAAGTACTTAGGAAGACTGAAGTCATTCCAGACTTTACTTAAAAATGTACGTTCTTAGAACGCAATAAATATAATTCCAGTGGAACAATTGAGAAACGGAAAATTAGATGAGTAGCTCGGGACTTTTCTCAAAAACTTGGAATCAATTTTGATCAAACGATTTCCACGAAGCAAAGTTGAGTTCGATCCGGACAGCATATTACAGAAAGTATCAGTCTCTATAATCAATATTGTAGTTTGACGATGTTAATTTTTTGCATTTTTCAAGACCTGCAGGCTTGTCAATCATTTTGCAGACTTGTTCGAAAATAAGACCTGTGCCGTTTTTGTAAGTGTATTTTGCTCCTCTGGGGGATTTAAAGAAAATAATTGGTGCCGTTTTTGAGGAACTAATTGTTTAAGAATTGCCTATATTTCACACAAAATTACGCGAAATCTACTCATTCTTCCGAAAAATTGTACACGACCTTATTTAAAGATGTCTTTGAAAAAGAACCATTAATAACCATTAAAAAATCTCTATCTTCAATTCTAGTTGTTGGAAAATGCCAAACAAATTATGAAATTTTGCAAATTTAGAAAATTCATGGAGTTTAACCAAAAATGGGATCTGTAGTATTTTCTTAAATGCCCTTTGCTCTAGCAGAAGAAAAAAACATTAAAAAGTCTGGAACCATTTCGAGAAAAATTCCAAAATGTTAAGGTTTTATGTTAAGGATCTGAACTTCAGTGTTAAAGGAAGTAATTTACTAATTTAATATATAAACAATATTTAAACTCTTTTGGGACATCAAGACCATTAAAATTACGTAAGTTGTATACGAGAAAGTAAAAGTCGACTAGAGAAAATTTTCACTCATATTTATGGTTATATATAAAGTCATCTGGAACTCATGACAATATGCTCATCCGCAATTCCTCTGCTCTCTCATTTACATCCTTTCTTTCCGATACCAGCCCTGAGAAAGACCACGACAGGATGGTCGAAACGTCGGCAACTCAGCCTTCGACGCGGCGTCACCCGGACAGCCCAGATCACCCACATCCTTTCTTTCCCTCCTTTTCTTTTTCTGTTCTTATTTTCTCTTTGCGAGATAAATATTTTGACTTTCTTTTCTTGTTTCAGTAAGTCTGGTGTTGAATGGAAAATCTGATATAGTAGAAGAAACAACAGTAGCAATTCATACTGTGTATCAACCAACAACTTTAATAAATGAATCACACGAAGAAAAACATAATACTTCAAAAACCACGAGAAATAACGTTTCTTCAATTGCATACAATAACCAAACCTCCCACAATTTTACTTCTAAAAAATTGGCTGACACACATTCAAACACATTTTCTTCCAGTTTAACATCAGAAACATTCTACAGATATAACTTTACTTACACAACCACTGGGTACCTTGAAACATTGAATAATAATTCTTTCAATGAGAATGAAAATGAAAATAATAACATGTTCATACCATCATCATCATTAACCAATAATTCATACAATTTCAGTAAACAACCTACTCCAGTTCCAATGCTTGTTGAGACAGAAATTCAAAATAAAGACATTACATTAAATTTAGAATTTCAAAATGAGAACATAACGACCCCAGTCACTTTTATAAGCAATGAAAACAATGAGATAACTACTAATGAAGAAAGAGTTACATCACTTACACAAAATACATCAAGACAAAATGCATTCACAATAGAAACGGAAAATATATTAAATGTCTCTTCTGAAGTGTCAAAAAATGCGTCGTATTTAAGTCATTTTTCATCATATGATTTAAATGAAAATAATATTACAACTCCTGAAATTCTTGAAACAAATTCTGGTAAAGATTTGATAAATACAGAAATGACAACAAATATACTTTTGAAAAATACTGAAAATGTAACTGAAGAAATTATTAATAATATACCTTTATTGCCTACAACCACTGATATAATAAATACGATGAACATGGAAAATAACACCTTTCAAGAAACAGAAATTTCCTCACCCAATCTATCTACATTAGCAACTACTAACATTAACCATTCATCTGACGATTTTGTTGAAACATCATCAGTTCCAACAATAAGCACAAATAGCACATCCACCATGATCATTTCAAGTTCTATAAGAACAAATAATTCTTCCTTGAATAGTTCTCTAGAAAATAACAATGTCAACAAACAAGAAGATCCTATTTCTATCAATCAATCCTCAATTACTAAAAATGATTCAGAAAGTAAAATATCCACTATCTCAACACAACAAATCACAGTTGCAGCCCATAATGATAAGCAAAAGGTAAGACACTGTATACTAAATACACTTGATTATTTTCTATCTCTAAGAGCATTGCAAATTGATTATTCTCATTAAATTCCTACACAATAGCAAGGGAATAATGTCGAAATTTGATCATGATAATATTGGCAACCAACCCTTAATTTCCTAATATATGCGATCATAGTGACTATAATCAGTCTCAAAATTTATATGTGAAATAGAATTGAATATTATCCTTCAATAGTACGCTAAAATGAAATTCACACTAAATGTCAATAAGGGGTCATGAAGACGTTTAATCCCGTCTTTTAACAATAATGAATTGACTTTGTTGCTACCTTTACTCATAATTCTACATCGTATACTTATAGTGAACTATCATTGGCGTGCGCAAAAGAGACCCCAGGTGGTCGTTGGCTCCCTGAAAATTTCAAAACGGGCCCCATAGCCCTAGGTAATAAAACATCTAATTTTCGTTAAAATGGTCAATTCCTACTTTTCCGCTTTTTTAAGCTGATACTTGTGGAATTGAAACATGACATTAGGAGGGGGCGGGGCAACCCCACTGAAATATACGTCAACCCTGAAAATGGTTCAACAAATCAATTGTATTTGTTAATATAGTCATTGAACTTATAAATTAATTATACTTTAAAGTTTTACTTACTTGCTAGAAAATTGTGTCATGTAAATAAAAAAGTTTAATGGAAAGGCGGCACTGAGTGGCCCAGGTATATACTATTTGCCCCAACTCTTGGTTTAGACTGCGCGCAACTATGTATACTTTAAATTAAATAAGAGTGAGGATAGGGATTCCTAAAAGAAAAGCGTACAGATTGTATCTCTCCTCCATACACCACAGTTTTAAGCACAGAGAGTGTCTTACAAGGATCACGTATGTGGCATATGTTCATTATTCCTGCAAGTACTTTCTGTAATCCTGAAGTCTGGGAGCTATAAGAAGTGTTTTCCATTTATATGGATATTACATTTCAGGTTTGACTGAATTGAGAGATCCATTTTGTTACCTGCACGATGTGCATTTGACTGATGTTAATTTTCGATTGACTGGACATTTGTTTATTTGAAAATTGCGTTTCACCTTGCTTACTATTAATTTGTTATTACGAAACCAAATTGAAGCATCTGATATTGTTTCTTTATTGCGAACAATACTCCCATCATCCGCAAAGAGAACAGTTCTTCCGTTTCCAATCGTCGAGGGCATATCATTTACGTAAATTACGAAGAAAATAGGGCCTAAAATCGAACTCTGCGAGACCCCTTCTTCAATTGGCAATGAATCGAAAGGGTGAGAACCTATATAATGTCCCATCAAGCCTGTAGGATATTTGTTCACTCTGAGATCGTTCTATAAGATATGAACATAACCAATCTAGAGCAACAACACAGATTCCATACGAATGTAATTGTGAAATTAAAATGTTATGATCAAAATGTGAAATTAAAGTGTTATGGTCAAAATGTTATGGTCAAAAGCGTTTGAAATATCTAAAATATTTCAATAGGTGATTCATTCTTGTCCATGAATGCAGGAACATTTTTAAAAAACTATAGCTCTTTTCAAAGATTTTCATCTTCTAATTTAATTTTGCCAATCTGAAAACGCTTCGTATTAGCTGAGAAAGGATTCCATTTGTACGTAGAAAAGCCTCCGTAATATTTTTGAATAAACTGAGAGAAGATAAATTAGACGAGTTTTGAATTATGATAATTTTGAATAATTATTTTGATATAACATACTATTTTGTTAATAATAATAATTTGGAATTTAATTTTTGTTTCTCTTTTTTGAAAAGCGGTTTAATCTTATGTGTTTTGAAAATAATATTTAGAATGTTCCTGTGCTTAAAGATGAATTAAATATGCGAGATGTATAATGGCAAGCGCACAAGTCTTTAATAAATTATTTGTGTATTCATCTAAACCGGTTGATCTTTTTTTTTTAGTTTTCAAACTATTTCGAAAATTTTATAGGAAAAAGATTAGGAAACACAATTTCGTCTCAAACTTTTTGTATCTATGACTGATGTTGAGTTTCGGGGTTAATTTCCACAGTAAAATCAACCGCCAATCTGGAAAAATATTGTATTATTTTTGCTTTCTCGCTACCACTTACGCAGCAGAGAGAAAATTATGTAATGCAGCACAAAAACACGGCGAATTTTTGACAGTTATACTCTTATTACACGGCCCTGGTAACGAAAAGTGGATAAATCCATATGCTAAATTTAGAAAAAATCCTTTCACACGTGGTGTAACCAGTATTCATGTTTTATCAGTCGTTGAGACCGAAAAATCGAATGACGACAAAACGTCCGCCCCCGACTCTCCGCCCCCGACTCT